CTCAAAACTGACATCGCTGGCTTTACACTCTCAATGCCTGGCGTCCTGTCGGTGAATTTAGTGTCCACAAATGTCCCTAAAAACTCAAGTCCTGATATGCCAAAATTAAAAGGCTACCCTACTAGGTATGAGAGAGTAGCTCAGAGTCCCACCCATGCAGTCCTTAGGTTGCCAATCCGCTGCTCATTTGTCTGAATCGGTGACAGTGGTTGATGGGGTGTGGACATGGACTGACGCTAGTATACTCATTTCATATAGGCCACCAGTCAGCATCCAAACAGGAAGGAGGGCCCAGTGGTTAAGGCACTAGCATAGGAATTGGGAGCTAGGGGCTCAAGTCCCAGCCCTGCCACAGCCTTCCTGTGCAACTGGGAACAAGTAACTTGATCTCTCTTGGGCTCAGTTCCCCCTCTGTACAATGGTGATAATAGCTGTCATGCCTCACACAGGTGTCTGGGGACAAATCCAGTCACGATTGTGAGGTGCTCAGATACTGCAATGATGATGACCATAGACAGCCAGAGGGTGGAGACTGTTGGGCATTGCTGACCGAGGCGATGTTTGACCCAACAATCGAAATAAAGATGAAATTCACTGTAGTCAGTGAATAGTCCTCACCGCCATCCAGTCCTCCTAATTTGTTTTCCTTCAAGCAGGTGCACAAATACACACACATTACAGGGTAATGAACAGCTTGGGTTTCTGAGCAACATGAAAGCAGAGTGAGAAAAAGCCGTTCGATGTGTTTTAGATTTGCTTTGCTGAGATGCTCATTACTGGTCTGTTTTCTGTACATGACAAAAAGCACAACCCGAGCACAGCATCTCAATGCGATGAGCATAAGTAAAGTTCAGAGACAGGGAGCAGGATTGAAATGCCGTGGCAGTACAGACTGCCTGTCATGCTCTGCAGCAGACAGGGCCAACGCCTGCCTCATGACTCTGGTACAAGGGTAATCAATTATTTTTTATCAAGGTCCACATTTCTTGGTCAAGGTATAGTCAAGGTCCAGACTCCAGAGAACAATACAGAAATTAAATAATAATAAATAAATAATAATAATAATAAAATATAAAGAGGTTGTGGTCTGTTCAAAAGCTCCTGGCGGTCCGGATTTGGCCTGTGGTCCACCAATTGACTACCCCTGCTCTGATATTCCTTATATTCCCCTTGAGGCACAACAGCGAAGTCAACAGGACTTTGCCTGAAAACGGACATGAAGCATGTGGGCTGCAGTGATGCAACAACCGTAGTGAGCTGCATTCTCAACCTGATTTGAAGAGACACATTTTCAAAAATGTGCCTAAAAACCTGGGGGTGGGGGGGTGGGGGGGTGCCCCACGCCCTGGCAGGTGCAAAAGCCTGCATTGGTGTGTGCTCAAATCAGCATGTACAAGAGAAGCTGGCCGCTTTCAGACACAAATGCTTTATGAACGGGTTCCACTTGCACGTGTGGGGGCGTATTTTTGGAGAAGGCTTTGAAAAGTAGGCCCGATGTTGTACTATGTGCAAGATAGAAGATCACGCAGGTGTGTGGATTCTCTTACCTAGGAGGGTAACTAAAAAAGGCTCAGCAACCAAGGAAAGTACAGAGGGGAGACAAAATGCGAGCCCTAGCGAAAAGATAAAGTGCAATGTGAAAAGAAAAGGAGGACTTGTGGCACCTTAGAGACTAACCAATTTATTTGACAGGTTTCAGAGTAGCAGCCGTGTTAGTCTGTATTCGCAAAAAGAAAAGGAGGACTTGTGGCACCTTAGAGACTAACCAATTTATTTGAGCATAAGCTTTCATGAGCTACAGCTCACTTCATCGGATGCATACTGTGGAAAGAGTGCAATGTGAGACATTTCAAACCTCTAGTAAATCCCATCAGCACTGTCTAGGCAGGTGCTCAAACAGGGAGGCAGTTGACCATCCAAAAATAGGATTTAATTATCAGTCTGGTCTCTAATCCCAACTGCGTCCCAGAAAACAGCCCCCACAATGGCTACCTATGCTATCACCGTGCCCTAGGAGACGCCTGCCATATTTGCTCTTCTTTCTGCACTTCAGGATGGTTTGTTCCTGCGCCCTCAATAAGCCTTCTTTAAAATACAGTCAGCTCTCCTGGCCCCCTCAGGACATCCTGTATTGTCATTCCATGTACACTAAATGAGCTCTGCAGCCTAAGGGCTCCTGTATCGTTCTTATTTCACAGTCATAGAATCACAGAATATCAGGGTTGGAAGGGACCTCAGGAGGTCATCTAGTCCAACTCCCTGCTCAATCCCCAATTTTTGCCCCAGATCCCTAAATGGCCCCCTCAAGGATTGAACTGACACCTGTAGGTTTAGCAGGCCAGTGCTCAAGCCACTGAGCAATCCCTTGGTATGTTCCAAGATGGGAAGATAAGGCAAATATTCTCGAGGCAGCTGATTTACATTACACAGGATGAAAAGTGCAGACCAGACGCCATGTGTTCCTCCTCAGGTCCATCAGCAGTGCAGCTCAAGACATGGCTCCCCCACTTGATTCACCAGGATGCTGGAACTAACCACATCAGGTCCTAACCACAAGGCTTCCACTCAGCCAGGATTTATTGCATATTTAACCTTGTTCCCTGCCTCCCCTCCTCCGGGTTATGATGAATGGCCTGGCTCTTCCCAGACACAGCTGGGCAGCTGGAACATTAAATAAATGCTAGGCTCTGCTTGCCTGCTTCATTTCATGCGCTGGGAGATATTTCATTTCCAGAGACCCCAGCCAGCTCTCTGCCATATGAGACAGAACAGTGCCATATCTCTAGGACAATCAACTGCAAAGCATTTGTAAATACGAAAAACTCAACTGGCTGAGCCCTAAATCCATCAGAGTTCATTTCCCAGTGGCTGCTCCTCCCTCCATTGCATGTGTCAGAACATGGTATTGACCACTAGAGCAAGGATTTCTTTTTGCAGAAAAAGAGAACTGGATAAATTCATGGAGGTTAAGTCCATTAATGGCTATTAGCCAGGATGGGTAAGGAATGGTGTCCCTAGCCTCTGTTTGTCAGAGGGTGGAGATGGATGGCAGGAGAGAGATCACTTGATCATTACCCGTTAGGTTCACTATCTCTGGGACACCTGGCATTGGCCACTGTTGGTAGACAGGCTACTGGGCTGGATGGACCTTTGGTCTCACCCAGTATGGCCATTCTTATGTTCTTATGTTTGCAGAATCCCGCACACGGACATGAAAACAACCCAGCTCCTTGTGTGTTACTGAATCAGTCATTTTGTTTTCTCCCTGCTGGAGCGCTTTCCTCCCATCATCAACGGAGAGCATGCCTGGCCTCCGTCCACCTGGCGCCTAGCAGAGTAGCCATTTAGCGGGGAGAGACTGGATGCCAGTGCTGCAGCCAGGTCAATTCATGGGCCACAGGGGCTGCAATAAAGTCATTTTTCAGCTTTGCAGTGGCAATGCAATTAGCTGTCGGAAAAGGCCAGGGCATTGACTCAGCATAACTTTTGTGACAGGGGGATTCTTCCACCACTGGAGAATGAGGAAAATAGTCCCTCTGTTGCTTAGCTTCCGCAGGAGGCCCATGGCTATCTGCCATTCTGCTTACAAAGGGACCTATCAGCCTAGCACACAGAGGAGCTGGTGGAAGTTACAGCGGAACTAGATGGCATTTCGGTCGGCTTCCATTGCAGCGCAGTTCAGACATTATGGACAATAGCAAAAGTGTCAAATGTCAAAACCTCTCAACTAAAAACACGGGACACATTTTTCATGAACATCTTCCAGTTCCAGTGGCATGGAGCAGGCCCCTTCCCGCCGGGCTCCCATGAACTGCCTCCCAGTGCTGGGATTGCCCAAATGAGAGGGAGACAACAATACATAAAATATGGTTGTCTGGTCCCAGGCGGCTTGTGAGCAAAATGCCCCAAAGCGCTGATTGGTTATGAATGATCCTGGACCCACGGAGCATGTTCATGAAGAGCCAGATCTGGAGAGGATTCAGAAAGGGGTGTAAATTACCCATCAGTGAGGAAGTCCAACCATCTCATTTCATGGACGGATTCTGGAGCTGCCACTTGTGATTGACATTCAGCACCAAAGTGCAGGAGCGGCAACGCCTCCCATCCTGGGGAACCACCGAATGTTTAACCTTCACCCCCTCCTGGCGAGGACTCAACTCTGCGGGGAGTTCCCTCCCTTCCCCAAGAGCTCAGCACCATAGATTGGTCACAAGCCCCCCTCCCTCCCCCCCTCCCCGCAGATTTGCCCACTACTTGCAAATGGTTTTCCTGAGGTACCAAAAGCTGCCAGTTCCCACAGTCAAAGGCCACAGCAACTGGCCCAAAGGATTCTGGGTTGTGGCTCGGGGGGAGAATGTGGGGTCGCAGTCTGAAAAGGGCACAACCCCAGCGCTTCACTCTGCTGACCCATTCTCCCAGTTAGCCCATGGGGTGGTGGGTGGAGCAGGGTCTGACGTGAGGCATACAAGGTGTCTGCCATGGTTTTCCTGAGGAGAGCACATCTCCTCCCAGTGTGCTGACAAGAAGGGTGTTTCCAAGAACTCTGCCTTTCCCTTTAATGGCCTGTGCAGATTACGGGTGACACAATCTCCGGGCCAGCTAACTAAAAGACAACGTCCCACCCACCCAAGTTTGTGACAAGCCTCCTCAGACACTGCACACCGAGCCCCCCTTTCAGAGGATGACATTAGAAATTCCCTTCCCTGAAACGGGGAAAGGAATTTCACAGTAGTGACCAGCTAGAGTGGTTATTCAACTGCAGTGTCCCTGCATTGGCCTTTTCTGTATGTGTCCCTTATTCGTATATTTTTAGCATGTGTGGGGGGCACTGAGCTATTACAGACCTGCTTGTGTCACAGATCCAGGCTCAAAGTTGGTAAAAAAAAAAAAAGGTGGATTTAGTTTTTCCTGGAAACAGTGGGTTTTTTCCAGTTCTTGCTAAGGTTGCTCCATCCACCCAGATGAGGGGGTGTGTGCTGTGTCTGCCTGTATAAAGGGAGAGAACAACTAGTGAGGGTGGGAGGAGATAAACCATCAGCTCTTTTTTCGTAGCTGCAGGCACTCCAAGCAGAGTAAGAGGGATTCCAGGGCTGGACACCATGGCTGAAGGTAAAGCTGCAGAATGGCACATTGCTAGAGGCTGCATTTCAGCAAAACTTGACAACTTTTTTATATTCTTCTAAATCAGGAAGGTTTTGCTTGGTTACAGGAAACTTTGCAGTGTATACATGGAAGGGGGGGTCACGGTATGTCTCTGTGTGCGAGTTCTACTTTGAAAGTCGATTACAGTTGGTTCCTTTAGCTCAGGCTGGAACACTAAGCAAGCTTCCTTATCTCAGCTGCACTTGTTTGTATTTCTCGAACGTATTGAAACTGAATGGCAATCCCTTGACTCACGTGCAGAATAATCAGACACGCAGAAGATTAAAATAGAAGATAGTTTCCTCCTGATCAGAACTATTTTGAATTAATTTTTTTCTTTACCATAGCTTCAGTAATTTGCTATTGTTGTAAGAACACCGATGCTGTAAAGAGTGAAATGTTAAAATACTGTTTTAAATTGCAAGCTCCCTTTCAGCAGGACTCAGCAGAGAGCTGCTCTAAAAATATTTGTTCTAAGTCTCGCTCTATTTTTAAAGAGAGTTATCTAAATAAAGCCATAAAAAAACCCTTTTAAGCCTTTAGAAATCCCTCTGACACATAGCTGGCTTTTCTGTGCAGTCTTTTGCTGGGGAAAGAATACTTTCTTCTCTAGAAAAAACAACGAGGAGTCCTTGTGGCACCTTAGAGACTAACAAATTTATTTGGGCATAAGCTTTTGTGGGCTAGAACCCACTTCATCAGATGCATGGAGTGGAAAATACAGGAGCAGGTATAAAAGATGGGAGTTGCCTTACCAAGTGCGAGGTCAGTCTAACGAGACAATTCAATTAAGAGTAGGATACCGAGGGAGGAAAAATAACTTTTGTAGTGGTAATGAGAGTGGCCCATTTCAAACAGTGGACAAGAAGGTATGAGTAACAGTAGGGGGAAATTAGTATGGGGGAAATTAGGTTTAGGTTTTGTAATGACCCAACCACTCTCAGTCTTCATTCAGGCCTAATCTGATGGTGTCCAGTTTGCAAATTAATTCCAGTTCTGCAGTTTCACTTTGGAGTCTGTTTTTGAAGGTTTTTTATTGAAGAATTGCCACTTTTAGGTCTTTAATCGAGTGACCAGGGAGACTGAAGTGTTCTCCTACTGGTTTTTGAATGTTATAATTCCTGATGTCAGATCTGTGTCCATTTATTCTTTTGAGTAGAGATTGTCCGGTTTGGCCAATGTACATGGCAGAGGGGCATTGCTGGCACATGATGGCATATATCACATTGGTAAATGTGCAGGTGAACGAGCCCCTGATGGTGTGGATCCTATGATGGTGTCCCTTGAATAGATATGTGGACAGAATTGGCACTGGGGTTTGTTGCAGGGTTTGGTTCCTGGGTTGGTGTTTTTGCTGTGTGGTGTATAGTTGCTGGTGAGTATTTGCTTCAGATTGGGGGGCTGTCTGTAAGCGAGGACTGGCCTGTCTCCCAAGGTGTGTGAGAGTGAGGGATTGTCCTTCAGGATAGGTTGTAGATCCTTGATGATGCACTGGAGAGGTTTTAGTTGGGGGCTGCAGGTGATGGCTAGTGGCGTTCTGTTACTTTCTTTGTTGGGCCTGTCTTGTAGTAGGTGAATTCTGGGTACCCTTCTGGCTCTGTCAATCTGTTTCTTCATTTCACCAGGTGGGTACTGTAGTTTTAAGAACGCTTGATAGAGATCTTGTAGGTGTTTGTCTCTGTCTCAGGGATCGGAGCAAATGTGGTTGTATCTTAGAGCTTGGCTGTAGACAATGGATTGTGTGATGTGGTCTGGATGAAAGCTGGAGGCATGTAGGTAAGTATAGGGGTCAGTAGATTTCCGGTATAGGGTGTTGTTTACGTGACCATCGCTTATTAGCACTTCTCTAGATCTTTCACAGTGGAGAGAGGTAAATAGAGGCATCCCCCAAGGATCTAAACCAGTGCTGTTTAACCTATCCAAAAATGATCTGGAAAAGGGGGTAAACAGTGAGGTGGCAAAGTTTGCAGATGATACAAAATTATTCAAGATAGTGAAGCCCAAAGCTGACTGTGAAGAGTTACAAAGGAATCTCACTAAACTGGGTGACTGGGCAACAAAATGGCAGATGAAATTCAATGTTGATAAGTGCAAAGCAATACACATCGGAAAACATAATCCCAACTATACATACAAAACGATGGAGTCTAAATTAGCTGTTACCGCTCAAGAAAGATCTTGGAGTCATTGTAGATAGTTCACTGATCAATGTGCAGCGGCAGTCAAAAAAGCAAACAGAATGTTAGGAACCACTGAGAAAGGGATAGAAGAAAACATCATATTATAGTACATCCCACCTTGAATACTGAGTGCCATTCTGGTCACCCCATCTCAACAAAGATATATTAGAATTGGAAAAAGTGCAGAGAAGGGCAACAAAAATGGTTAGGGGTACGGAACAGCTTCCATACATGGAGAGATTAAAACACTGGGACTGTTCAGTTCCGAAAAGAGATAACTGAGGGGAGATAGAGGTCGATAAAATCATGAATAGTGAGGAGAAAGTCGATAAGGACGTGTTATTTACCCCTTTGCATAAGACAAGAACCAGGGGTCACCCAATGAAATTAATAAGCAGCAGGTTTAAAACTAATATAAGGAAGTACTTCTTTACACAACAGTCAACCTGTGGAACTCACTGCCAGGGGATGTTGCGAAGGCCAAAAGTATAACTGGGCTCAAGAAAGAATTAGATAAGTTCATGGAGGATAGGTCCGTCAATGGCTATTAACCAAGATGGCCAGGGATGTAGCCCCATATTCTGGGTGTCCCTAAACCTCTGACAGCAAGAAGCTGGGACTGGACAATAGGGGACGGATCACTCGATAATTGTTCTGTTCATTCCCTCTGAGGCACCTGGCACCAGCCACTGTTGGAAGACAGGATACTGGGCTAGATGGACCATTGGTCTGACCCAGTACGGCCGTTCTTATGAAATAATATTTCCCATGTCAGATTCTGATCATTGTGTAGCCCTCTTTGTTCAGTCTATGGTCAGGGAGCCAAGGCAACACAGTCTCAGCATTATATGGCATCATAGCCCATCCTAAAGCAAGTGACTGTGCCCTATGGCTGCGTGTGGAGGTGCAGATAGGCAGCTGAGAGACATGCCAAATCCACAACAGTGACAAAAACAAACAGGGAAGTTAATTCAGTTCAGCCACCTGGGATCTCAGTGACAAGACCAGGTTTTATTCAATCAACTTCCAAGACAAAATCAAAGTGAATGAAAGAGGAGGTGCCAGCAATGGCCTTGCAATGACTGCATCCTCGAGAAAGCAGGGTCCCTCGCTGGCTGCCAGAACGGACTGTGACGCTGAGCCTTCAGAGCACCCCTCTGACGGCTCATTGCTCTAGGGCAGCAGTGGGACTCTGGGAGGGTCGGAAGACCCTTATCCTTCATTTCCCCTCAGGGTGATAAAAAGCAGGATCCCTTACATCAGAGATTGGACCAAATTATATGCACACGTAAATGGGGAAAGCTCCACTGAGGTCGATGCATGGTGCTCACTGCCATGGCTGGGGAATGCTGCTTCTGGCATTTCTCTTCCATGAGGGCCCTCACCTGGGCCTTTGGTTTGGGCTGTTCCTAGGAGAAGATGGAACTGAAGTTTTCCATGAGCTCCTCTTCCTCTGTCTTTGTTCTCACAGGGCCCTCCCATGGTGTGTCCGACTTCCAAGCACTCCGACATCTTTCAAAATACAAACAAACACTGACTATCTCTCTCTGCGTCTCCTGCTGCTAGATGCCAGGAAGAGCTTAGTTCAGAGCTGGTTTGTGTATGTTTAAAGTGCAAGTATATCTAGGGAAAGCAAGGGTGAAAAGGGGAGTTTTGTTGTGAATGCAGCAAGGCCTGTGGCCATTCTTATCTCTCGCAGGAGTGAGCACCAGAGTCTAGGTCTGACTCTCCAATGCACAAAGCAAAGACAACTCAAAAAACCAGAAGAGAAAAACCCTTCTAATCTCTTTCATGGCAGCTGTCCTAGGGGTTAGTTATAACAGTAGGAAATAGAAGTCTGGCAGACAGAAATGTGACAGTTAAACTGGTGTCGCTGTTACATTAAAGGATTTTAAAACACAGGGGAAATGGAAATGGAACGTTAAGATATTTCATTCCACTCGTGGCCTTGTGAACATTGTAATACCTGCGGTGACTAGCATGCAGACTTCCAGGAAGAGCTCTGCAAACATCCTAGTATATGTTTTCATCAATTTAATAACTAAGGAATAAACTGGTTGTTACTGATCAAAGAGGCCAACAGAATACAACAAGTTTGGAGTTACCAGCTCGGGCTGGTTTTTTGAGCCAAAAATCATTTTTTAGAATTCCTCTCTCAAACACACTTTTTCTGATTTGGCCCAAATTTTCTGGCAGAGTCTAGCTTGAAATAAGATCATACACATGTAATTGGGTTCAGTTTTTGCTAAATCAGGGCTGAGATGTGTAAAATGGAAGTCTCCCTTCTCCCTTCAGTTTGTTATATGTTGGTCACACCCCTGCAGCTCGGCAGCCCAATGGAATCATTTTGATTATGGGTAAGCTATGCTTTCTCCATAACTCCATCTATCTAGATCTCTTAGGTCTTACCACAATAGCCTCTCACCAGTGAAAGCAATTATTTCTCTCTCACACATCCTTCCCTTCTGGCAAGCAACGGGGCTGACTTTGTGGTGAGGTTTTGGGGGCATATCCATAAGCACGAACGTGAGGGCACTATTGCAAGAAAGCTTTTCGCTTTCGCTTTTCGGATGCGGCAAGGTCAGTGGTCTTCCTTTTTTCACCTGGCATCATTCCTATAGCAACGGGTTTCTGCAGCTCCCTCCCTTCCTCCTTCTGGCCAGCATTCAGCCCCTTCCCTAGGGCAGTGGCTCTCAACCCTTCCAGACTACTGTACCCCTTTCAGGGGGCTGATTTGTCTTGCGCACCCCAAAGTTTTACCTCACTTAAAAACGACTTGCTCACAAA